TAGGTGATAGGATGCATCAGCAAAAACATACTTTGGAAGAGAGTTCCCGTCGTCTCCAAAATAAGCGTGAACAGGCGAGCCAGCACCGGTCACAGGAAACGTCGGAAGAGAGATCCCGTCGACTCTAGAACGCCCGTGATCTGCAGAGTCACCGTGGGTCCCAGGAAACGTCAGCACAGACATCCCGTAGACTGCAGAACGCCCGTGATCGGCAGAGTCAGCACCGGTCCCATAGCTATGCAGAAGACGTTACTTCAGTAATTCATTGAAATGATATAGCTAATCAAGGGAAAAAACATTTCCATCAGTTCTAATAACATGCACGATGAGCTAGGCAACACAGCATTGCGCAGGGCCCTGAGCTTCCAAGCTCTCTCTTGTTTGGTATTTTGTTTGTTTGTTTGTTTGTGTCACGCATTGCGCTATCCCGTATCTGTCCCGTACGTACCGTACCATCAAGCACAGTCGGCCACAAACAGCTGGCCACAATATTTGCTGGCTCCCGTATCTGTCCCGTAACACACTTGGCCACAATATTCCTCCTATTATGTTGTTTTATCGCCTTCTTAGTATTTGACCCCACTAATTTCCCTGATACCTAAGCGGTCAAATATATCGCGTATTTGACTGCTTAGTCAAATACACAATATATTTGACTACTTATATTTGACTCCTTAGAATTTCTTGGACTTAAAATTTTTCTCTCCAACTTGAAAAAAGAAATTTTTGAAGAAAGCAGAAATACACAAGATGGGATTTGAACCCACAACCATGTGAATCTCAGTCACTCTTCCTTACCACCCAGCCACTGTGCTACCGATGCTGAACCTAGTTTAAACAATGACCTTGATCCTGCAATGTCGTACAATGCGGTATAGGCTATAGTATAATACTAAAATTACAAGGATATGTCGTATATGAAGAGAAACTATTGCGTGGAGAACACGATAAATAGATTATGGACCTCATAGTTGGTCTATACAGGATATATAGACCTCGTAAAAGACCTCGGGGGACCTCGGTCTTTTACTCGGTCTATATATCCTGTATAGACCTCCTAACCGGTCTATAATCTATACGTATTGTACGTATGTATGTATATTTTTATTTGAATTCGCAAGTACATACGGGCTACAAGCCCAATTACATGGAAGCAAATGCCAGAATGAGGCCAATTAAGAAAAAAAGGTGGAGGAAGGATGAGGATGGTAGTATTCTTTTATTTCAATTCGCTCAGGGCACAGGCAATACTGCCTTCTCACGGAAGAAAGGATTCACCGATTCCTACCAAAAACGAGAAATCTGCGATATGAATATGTATGAGAAAGATATGAGAAAAATGATTTTTGTATCCCTTAATTTGCTAAATCCCTGATTTACCGGTACTGTATAGGGAGATTTTCTGGAAAGAAATAGGGAGACGACTCAGACGAGAAGGAAATGCAATTACAATGGACGCTAGTTGCCGAATAGGTGATAGGATGCATCGGCAAAAACATACCTTGGAAGAGAGATCCCTTCGTCTCCAAAATAAGCGTGAACGGGCGAGCCAGCGCCGGTCACAGGAAACGTCGGAAGCGAGATCCCGTCTGATTGAAACGTTTTTGCAATACAATGATGTAGCCAATCAATGGAAAAAACATTGCAATCAGTTCAAATGCACGTTGAGCTAAGCAAAAAAGTATAGCGTAGGGCCCTGAGCTGCCAAGCTCTCTCGTTTTTTATTTGTTTGTTTGTGTGTTTCTTTCTTTCTTTGTTTATATCACGCCTGGCGCTATCCCGTATCTGTCCCGTACCGTACCGTACCATCAAACACAGCTGGCCACATACAGCTGGCCGCAATATTCAATTAGGGCTTTCAAACGCAAGATCATAACATGAAGCAACTTGGAAGAATGAGTAGAGTAGACGGTTCGATATTGGAACGCTTTGACATCCAAATTTGTATAGACCCAAACCGATCATCAGCGTTGATTTTTCACTCGAAATATGTTTGTGGAAGGAAACTGGCATGTTGAAGTTTGCTCTGGGGCCAGATTCAATCGAACTGAGCCACTCCTTTGTGTTGACCCATTGCCTCCAAGTTGCCCAATTTTTCGCTTCAAAAAAGTTCAAATCAGAGGTGGCTCCAAACCGGACACGTTTTAGAGTGCACGTCAAATTCACTCTGGGTCTGAAATTAGGTAATTGCTATCGCTCCACGACGGCCAGTACAGAGTAACAATAAGCCTTGTGTGTGCTTCCATTAGTTTTGATTGGTATGCGGTGCTTTATTGGCGAGAGGCGAGCCGCTGTTTACCTGCGACAAGAAGTTGATTTTTCGAAAGTCGTAAAACTCAAGTCGCAGTGCGAAGCAACACGTCAAAAAATCACCTGCTTAGTATGGCGCTTCTGGTCATCGCAGAGCCATGAAATTTTGGCTCGGAGTATAACACATCGTAGTCTCACTGTGACATATATCATTTTTGAGCATTTTGAGGTATCTATACCATGGTACTGCTGTATCCGAGCAGATCACTCTGTAAAAAATCTATAGTCTGTTTCAAAAAGATTAGCAATCAGGTTTTGGTCTTAAAAAGTATGAAGATAAGGGGAAATTGGACAACGAAGTACATAAAAGGGCTGGTTAGGGCACGGCAAATTGTTCTGTGAAGGATTCGGAACAATTGGACCAGCCGTTAAGGAGTTAGAATTTCGGCCAGGTTTCCGGCCTTTTCCCATGGTTTGCAATTTGCCCTGGAAGCCAGTATCGATTTTTCTATCAAAACCCACGATTTATCTTTTCCTTTCTGGCCTTGTGGTTATGGATGCTGTCTGCTGACCATGAAGTTGTGAGTTCAAATCCCAACCTATCTTCAACTCGCACTTTTTTTTATTGTTTTTGGTGATCAAGCAGACTTGTAGTTGTTCACGATTGTTGTTGTTGGAGCTCCCGCTTCCTCCCGATCTGACTGACACTTGACTGGCTCACGCCATGTGAACACACCCACAACACTGAAACGGTGTGAGTGAATACGGAAGTCATTGCGCTGTAGCTAAGTGTTGAATACACCGGCACATCGATCGATCGATTTATTTTTGAGAATTATTTTAGTATTTCAAGATCGCCAATTTGTTTGAATTTAGAAGTCAACGCCGTCTTCTATCAGCTTCCACAGGCGTCTGCTTTTCTCAAAATGTTGTCGAAGTCATACGGATAGCTTCGCCAAGTCATGGCCTTGGGAATGAGTCTGTGTCGATGTCGTTTTCGTCACATGGTGAGAGTAAATAGCATCGCAGCTCAAAGAAACTATTTGGTCACAAAACATATTGGGACCCATGCCGCTCGTCAGCCTTGGCATTTACTACACTTTCGACATGTCCTCTCTGACTCCATAATCGATACGAGGAAGAACTCGTTTGTTGTGAACCAGACGTACACGACTGTACCGACATCGACCTGAGTGAGTTGTCATTTTTCATGCTTTCGCGCGGAATATTTCTTCGAGTTCACAGTGAGTTTTTCCAGGCAGCGCTCGAGCGCTTATACGGTAAGACGGCAAACTCCCCGGGAGATCACCAGGATTGCTAATCTTTTTGAAACTGACTGTAGGTCCGAACTTTTCATCTTTAACAGAGTTACATGTATAGGCGTTTGAATAAGTGAATCACACATCGCTTTATGCGGACAACTTAACTTTCAAATGCTCCTTTCTCAGTACTGCGTGAAACGACATAAGCCCCCTTTTCGGATCATATTACATGATGTGACATTAAACAATGGTCCCGAGTGACGTGTGAATGCAGGGATATAATTATGTATACGCACATGCACACACGCATACACAGCAATGTTAAACAAAAACAAGTAGGCTGGTCCTGCTGGTGTTGCTGCTGCTGGTTATACAGCTGCTACTGGTAGTACCGCTGCTGGTGCTGAAGCTTGCACCTTACACTGCTTAGGTTGCGGGGAAGCATACATCAAAATAATTTTCTGATTAGGTTGCGGGAGCGCTGACATCATGCATTGCCATTCTTCTACCCACATAAGATGTTATGCGCAGCAGCGAGACTATGCTTTTTCTGGCGCTGCCGTCACAGTGCCTCAGTCAACTACTTAAACGTTTCTTCACCATCGCTCTATGGCGGATAAACTCGGGGTAGCAGCGCCTGCCATTGCTACTAACGCGCGCAAGCGGATGACGCATGCAGGTGCTGTGCTGTTTAATACTTTGCCCACGGGAAATAGATGCATTTCAAGCTTGCCAGTTTTCAAGCCCAACGCCATGGAGGATATATCACTATAGACCTTGGCCATTGATACTCTTATTATGAATGGAGGATTGTCTCCTTTACAGTCGGCAAAGTAAACAATGCGACGGGCTTCTGCCGGTGCTGGAGCTGGTACCCATAGTATGGCTACTGCTGCCTTGAGTGCTGCAGGTCCTGCTTCTTCGTCTTCAGATAGTATTGCTATTATGAAGTGAGGATTGTCTCCTGTACTGTCGGCATAGTACACAAGGTGACGAGCTTGGTACAGAACGATATAGGCTTCTTCCGGTACCGGAGGTGGTGGTACTTCCTCAGCCATCGGGCCGCTGTTTCTGCCTCGAGTGCTGGTTGTCCTGCTGGTGTTGCTGCTGCGGGTTATACAGCTGCTACTGGTAATACCGCTGCTGTTGCTGAAGCTTCCACATTACATTGCTTAGGTTGCGGGAATGCCGACATCAAACAAATTCCTGATTAGACCATGGATGCTCTTGTAAATATTTCGTACTTTTCTCTCCCTCCACTATTTCTCCCCACTCCTATCTCTCACACTCCCAAAGGTTTACCCAAGTGGGTCCAGTGTCATTAGGATTTTGCCTGTTTGGGATTTACCACTATACACTATTCAATAAAGAGCACAACTTTATCCTCACGCCATGAAAACTTAGACAGAACTTTTGCAATTATCAACAGCCATGCTGCTTGCAGTGCATGCAGTGCAGACAGTGACAGTACCATTTTTAGGATTGAAATTTTTTATTAAGACCAAACTTAGGTCCAGGGTCCCCTGGACACATGTTGAAAAACACGGTGGGGCGAATGTATTATGCACGAATGACTGTACATATACATTTAACTATGGTCCCGGGTGACGTGTGCCTGCAGGGGATATAATATGTATACGCACATGCACACACGCATGCACAAACATGTTCAACATAAACAAACTCGTTAACACAAACAACGAACGAACAACGTACGAGAGAGAGAGAGAATAAATTGGAGAGAAAAATGAGAGAAAAGGAAAAGCAGAGACAGAGAAGAGAGAAGAGAGAGCAAAAAGAGAGAAAAAGAAAAGCGGGCGAAGGGAGAGAAGAGAGAGCGCAGAAAGAGCGAGATAGAGAGAAGGAGAGAAGAAACAGAGAGAAGGCAGAAAGAGAGAGTGAGAGAGAAGAGAAAGAGAAAGAGAGAAGAGAGAAAGAGAGAAGAGAGAGAATAGAAAGAGAGAAATATAAAGGAAGAAATATAAAGAGAGAGCGAGAAGAGAGGGAGAAATAGAAAGACAGAAATAGAAAGGGAGAAATATAAAGAAAGAGTCAGGGGCGTCGCACACGGTACGGTCACTACGGTATTGATCGTACCACTATTTTGACCCAAGTACCCCGTCAATCAATAAACTGTACTGATTTGGGCTCTAATTTCCCAAAATTTTCGACTCAACCAACCCACCCCCACGAGTAAACTGTACCTCAGATGGCTGATCGTACCACACTAAAATACCTTCCGACGCCCCTGAGAGTGCTAGAGAAAGAATGACAGAGGAGGGTTAGAGTGAGAAGAGAGGAAGAAGAGATATAAGAGAGAAAGAAGAGAGAGAGAAGAGAGAAAGGAGAGAGAGAGACGAGAGAGAGAAGAGAGAGAGAGGGAAGTAGAAAGAGAAATAGAGAGGGAAAGAGAGAAAGTGCTAGAGAAAGAAAGACAGAGAGAGATAGGAAGACGGAGAGCTAGAGCTGTAGAGAGAGAGAGAGAGAGAAGGAGAGCTTGAAAGAGACAGAGGGATAAAGAACGTAAGATAGAGAAAGAGAGAAAAAGAGAAACAGAGCTAGAGAAAGAAAGAGAGGGAACGAGAGAGATGGAGAGGTAGAGCGAGGGTGAGAGACGGAGGGCTAGAGCTGGAGTGCGAGGGAGTGCTAGAGAGATACAGAGACAGACGGAGAGAGAGAGAGAGAGAGAGAGAGAGAGAGAAAGAGAGAGGGAGAGACAGACAGAAAGTAACAGAGACAGAGACAGAGAGAAAAAATAGATAGATAAGAAGAGGGAGAGGGAAAGAACTATACGGAGAGCGACTTTACTTACATCATACGACGATAATGGGCCTGTCCACGTGCAGCCGTTTACCTTTTTCTCACAGGTAATTTTTAACTCTCCAATACGGCGTTTCACGCTTCGATCTTCCACCAACTGCATATTTGAGTGGATGACGCCAAAACAATACCATATACCTCAACTTAAAAATGTTCCTAAGGGATGGGTAGATGCGTCAACAAGATTACGTTGAATTGTACGAGACTGTGAGGTCGGCAGGTTTCAAGAACGTGTGCGTGTGTGGAGTGGGGGGGGGGGGGACGGGACATAGGACATAATGTAAAGTGAGGAATTTTCGCTGTTTTCGCTACCAGCAAACTTTCGCGAATACATAATCACCGCAAACTGCTCTGTGCATTGATTTTTGACTATACAAGTTACCATTGAACTTTGAGATTAAATCGCGAAGGTTTCTTGTTGTTAACCTGCGCAATTCTTGAAAACGCAAACTTTACGCGCGGCAAAAGTTTATCGCTTTACAGTACACGTGGAAAGCGTCACTGTCAAGTAAACGACCCCATTGGACGCTGTGGGTTTTGCAGCCACTAACATTCTCTAATCACGCACCAAATAATTGATGTTATAAACTGCAGTGAGGCAACAGAACAGCACAACAAGTGTGCGTGTGTGTGTGTGCGCATATGTGCGTGTGCGTGTGGGTGTGTATGTGGGTGTGTATGTGGGCATGTAAATGTTCTGTAAGTAGCTTACGTCTCCTGGCACAACCCAAGAAAGCGCTCCTCTGTCCAATGGACATGGCTGATTACGCCTGTGAAAACAAAGTTACCAGAAAATACACAGAGAACACAGAAGACAAACACACACGCACAACATACACGTGCATTCATGTACATGTACATACACACTCACACTCATACACACGTACACACATACACACGTACACACATACACACGCACACACATACACACGCACACACATACACACATAATTAACTCTAACAATAACCAGTCGGTTCACGGACTTGTTATCATGAACTCTCTTTGTCTGGTGGGAGAGAGTAATGCTGTGCGACCTTGCGATGTGGACAACAATAAATAACAGTGCATGTGCGCACATGGTCATGCAGAGACTTTAATACCAAACGTGTGACTTACTTGAGGACTTCGGTAATGCAGCTGTGGCAGAAATGATGGCCACACCTTACCGCAAGTATGGGGTGGCGTAACACCCCGCCGCATACTGGGCAGAATAATTCTGTGGCCGGACGCGTGATGAAAGCCTCCTCGTCGAAGCCACCAATGTTGTTTGACGGCCATGTCACCATGGCCGTGTATTCTAGCCCAGACGGTCCTTTTGCTGCTGCTATCGTTGCTGAGGCTTCTTCTGTTAGTGCTTCTGCTAGTTCTTCTGCTAGTGCTACTGCTTGTGCTACTAGTGCAAGTGCTGCTGCTTGTTCTGGCACTTCAGCCATCGTGCACCTTTTACCTGGAGTGCTGCCGGTCCTGCTGGTGTTGATGCTGCTGCTACTGGTGCTGCCGCTGCTAGTTCTGAAATTTCAACGTTACACTGTTTGGGTTGGGAACGCTGCCATCAAATGGATCTGCTTAGGCTGCGGGAACACTGGCATCAAGGCAATCACCTGCTTATATACTGGTGCATACATGTCGTACATTCACCCGTATACCGGCAATCCGTCTACGGAGAGTTGTATTTGTTCAAGTATGATCCTCGACATCATGATAATTGTACGTGCACTGGATCAGTACAAATCCATGGAGCAATTGTGAAAACCTAGCACCGCGCGTATCAGTTATGGTATGGTTGGGTTAAGGAATATACATGTATTGCTAACAAGAATGAACTCTCATATTTTCATATTCATAGCATGGGTTTCAAATGAACATGAACTTGATTCTTACATGTAATGTTATCGCGTAGCAAATTATATCGGTCCAAAGATTAGCAAGAGGGACGAACGAACAGAGCAAGTAAAACAGAACAGAAAAGAAGGTGCAACTGGGAGAAAAGAAAAATGGAGAAGGCATGTGGACCGGGCGGATTCATGAGCCATTACTAGAGCGGGGCAAGACCCGAACGGCAGGGACAAATGCGTTGATATTGCTGTTAAAAAAATTCTAGCCTTATTTTATCGGAACCTGAACATTGTCGGCACAAGTTACGTGATCGAGTCCACTAACTAAATCAGATGATGAACAGGCAGACTTGCACGATCTAGCACAAAACTGACAATACTATGTTCTTCCATAGCCACTTCTAGGCTAAGCCTTCGCCGTCATTTTATTGGGTCGTCATCCCGTTTGAATGTGCGAAGTGAAATAAAAACCAACCAACCAACCAACCAAACACAAGGACTACTGTAACATACCACGGCATGAAGGTCAGAGTCGAGCGCTAACCAACGACCTTCCAACTTGCTTTGGAAACCAAATATATTAGAGTTCACAGAAACCTGTAGATCACATACATGCAATAGATTTAGCAGGGGAGCGGTGCTGGTCCACGGTAGAGACTTGCAGACTGCCCGAGCGGCACGGTTGAATAGACTATGTAGCCGTTGTTCATGACAAACTGACAAATTTAATAAGGGTAGTAACTAATAGAGGTATACAAAAACTCTGTCAAAATGATAGATCTGTAGTGGGTGAGTCGTCATGGATATGGGAGTCAGGAAGCAGTCCCCTGCAGAGGAGCATTTTTGCAGGCAAGGCGACGAGCAACAAGGTCCACCATTGTGCTCCTAGTCAAAATCCCCCCATAACTCAACAGAACTAAGTTTGTTGCTCCATCCACTTGCACTACCATCCTTTCCTACTCACGATGCAGAACCCCTCCCTCTCCTTCTTGCTGATGTGATATCTAGCCATGCACCCTACACACCCATAACACATTCATTCCACCTTAGGATAGGCCAACTCAACTGCCAAAGCGCCACTCGTAAGATCCCAGTCATTCAGTCGCTACTACACACTTCGTCCTTTGACCTCACCGTCCTATTCCTCTTTGAGACATCCTTTTTCCAATCCCTGCCTGATGCAGCCATCTCAATTCCCGGATACAGCCTCCTGCGTAAAGATAGAGATGGGGCCAGACACTCAGCAGACTTACTGTTTATATATCGAAAATTACTTATGTGCCATTTCCACCGGCGGACCGACCTTGAATGCTCACTGGAGCACATTTGCATGGATAATTTTAAAGAATCGCAGAACAGTCGAAAGAATACATTCCACATGCTTTACAGGCCCTCTGACCGATCATCAGCAGAAAAACATGACTTTTTGTGACCTTCCAGTCCACCATCGCCAACGCACTGTTAACCTCAGGAACGACAGTCATTCATGGTGATTTCAATGCCAAACTCCGACAGTGGAACGCAGCAGATGTTGATACGGCAGAGGGCAAACAGCTAGCAAGATTGTTAGACGACCTTGCACTACAGCAAATTGTCCGAAACACGACAACGCGACACTCAGCTACGGGTAGCCAGTCATCGCTTTTCGACCTAGTTATCACAGCCCACCGACCTTGAAGTCCTAGATCCGCTGTCAGACAACTGTCCCATCATCTTTAAATATCTTTCACGAAAGCGCACCCCAAAACACCCGCCGCCCCGCTTTGTCACAGACTACGTGAACACTGACTTACAATCTCTACGACAGAAACCTTCATCTCTTCACTCCGGAAGTGTATGCTCGGGGCTTCCACCATCGAGAGTGCGAGGTGGGCATGGGAGTCATGCATCAGACAAGCCATTGCCAGCTGCTTAGCGTACAGACGAGTTTCATCTCGAAGACAGCAAGCCAAGCCTTGGTTCACCCCGCATCTGCATCACCTTCATCGCCAGAAGCAGCGCCTTTTCCATGTCGCCAAGCGCCAACAAACAGTAGAATACTGGTTAATGTACAAGGCCCAGAGGAATGCATACCAGAACCAGTTAGGAAATGCAGAGGCGCTGTACATCAAGCGCCTCAGTGAGAATATCAACAATGAGCTAGTTGCCCACCTTTGGTGGAAGAAAGCCAAGACACTTGCCAACATCTCCTGTAAGAAAGAGAAAGTTCCCGACCTAATGTGTGAGGGCTACACGGCACAGAGCGAACCAGAGAAAGCAGATAGGCTCGCGAAGGTATTTGAGCGCCAGTGCATTTTTTTTCACGGTACAGGTCCAATACCAGCACCAGCCGACGGCTGTCCAAATGAATTATTCTCTCTGCCAGTTATTCTCTCTGCCAGTCTTGGCCGAATCCTCAGTGTTCCGGGTGCTTCGAAGGCTCCCGCAACACAAGGCAACAGGCGGGAACACCTCGAACAGGATCCTCCCAGAGATCGCACCATGTATAACATCCTCTTTTACCAACCTGTTCAACGCTAGCCTCACCTAGGCTAGAGTTTCCTATTGCCTTGACGCTGGGAACAGTAATCCCCATATTTAAAAATAAAGGTAACCCATGTGATCCCTCCAACTACCGCCCTATCTCTTTGTCTGTCAAATCCTATATAAGGATTTTTCCCAATCTCTCTATTTTTAGATCATACCTTTTCCTGTAACAGGCCTTCCCGTGCAAAGATGTCCAGAACTTTCAAAATCCTATATATAGGATTTGGCCTCTTCAAAAATTGGTTTTGTTTTTCCCAGTTGCCCCTGCCAATAAAAACCTTAATTGGCAATATCCAAGCCTAGATGTAGTCCATATGGAGCTAACAAAAACATTCTATGCATGTATGGCTAAAGAAGAAGCACCTCCTAGGCTAGTACCAAAAGAGTATTCCACTATTAATATGTGTACATACTTGAACACAAATGATTTAGTAAATGCCCCAAACATGTAGTGTCTTTAGTTCATATTGATCTGCGAGCACTTTACAACACTACTTAAATGCTAATATTCATTTATTCCAATCCTAGTCTATTTCTACCACTTGTAATAATTGGAATTCATCAGCAATAATTGAACACAGATACCTTTCATGGGGGTCTTAGCCAGTGAGTAACCTCTATTCATTCATTTTAAATAAAGAGAGGCATTGTGGGAAAGATCAAAATGCATCTTCAATAACATTGCTTCCACTTCGACCATTTTCGAGGCTGCAAATGCGTCTTGAAGTCTAATTCTATAATATATTATGGGATTAACTGGTGACAGACAAAGCGATACCCCTACCCCCAAGCTATTGCAAAAGCACTATACAAGATTGTCGCCACCAAATTCGGTCACTATCGCGAGGTCAACCACATCATTGTGCCGGAACAGTTCAGCTTTGTCCATGATCGCTCCACAGTTGATCAGCTTATACAGCTCACTACTAAGATTTCCTCGACCATGGATAAACGCATCCCTTAAGATGCTGCATTTCTCGATTTTGCGCAGGCTTTCGTTTAAGTGCGGCATGACGTGTGTCTCCAGCAACTCAGGTCTATCTGCGATGCTCCGGCTACGAGTTGGTTTAATTATGAACTACCTCGATACGCGTACATACAGCGTCCGCGTCCAACACCATCTGTCCCCCCACGTCCCGTCAAGTCTGGAGTACCCCAGGGATCCCATCTCGGGCCATTGCTTTTCCTGGTGCATATCAACAGCTTACCCAGTGCCTCGAAACGCAACCAGCACACTGATGTTTACCTGTTCGCAGATGATACCGCCATTGGCCAAGCACGAACCAAAGGTACCAGCCAAATGGAGACTGCCCTGCAGGACACATTTGCATGGGCCGACCGAGTAGGCGGAACCTTCAACCAATCGAAAACCGTTCTTATCTCATTCGCTGAGGAAGTAGCTGCAGAGACCATCCGTGGTATCCAGCCGTCAACCAGTCACCGTCACCTGGGAGTGCTGTTGAGTGAAACACTTACCTTCCAGGAGCATATTGAACAGACAAGCAAGTTTAGACAGCGCAGCGTTCTTCTGTGCCATATGGCTGACCGTTTAACAGGAGACATCGTCAAGAATCTGTACCTTACGTATGTCTGCCCAACAGCAGAATACACCGTACCCAGTATGGGAGTCCCCCCCCCTCTCTGCTGCAAAGCGGCTCACCCTTGAACGGCTGCAACCCAAAGTAGCTCGCACAGCCATGCGGCTTGAGAGATGCCTTTGCCCATCAGACGAGCCCAAGTCATCATTGTTTAAACAGCTGGGGTGGCCAAGTCTATCCTGGCGCAGGAATATCGCCTGCCTTATGGAAATCTTCCAACTGGTCACCACCCAACCAGAACTTCTTCAAGCAGCAGGATATTGCCCCACGCGTAGTCGCCGCCGGCAACTCGCATTCACTCTGCCACGGGTTGGGAAACATTGCAGGAGGTCATTTCTCTTCCGCACCGCTACTGTCTGGAATGCCTTGCCCGCAGACCTGAGAGCCACAGCCTTGCAGTCCCTGTTTCGCAGTCACATTTTCACGCACTTCTCTGATACCGAACACAATGCCACTCCTCACTGACATGCCTATGTCCTTCTTCTTTGAGCCTTGCGCTTATTCCTGTACCGTCGGCATAGTGACCAATGTGATGGGCTTCTGCCGGTGCTGGAGCTGGAACTTCCTCAGCCATCGTGCGGCTGGTTATGCCTTAAATGCTGCAGGT